TGGTTTATAGCTTTACGATCCTCTCCAAGCAAGAGTCTCACATACATACTGGGCCCAGGCTAATTGGGGTTCATAACCATGAAGCTGTGCCTGATGCCTGTAATCTCAGCATACATACAGACCACATTCCTGAGGAAGGGAGATTGGAAGGAGAGAGAGAATGATACAAGATGGGGAATCTTTAGCAAGATGGATGACGCGTCCATCTCTGTACGTACAATTGCTACAAAACCCTGCATGCTCTGCTGGTCACCAATCCAGTGACTTTCCTCTTCTGGGTTGGGCCCCGCTACCTGTGAGCCCAGGGCTTCACCCACTGCCTTGGCTCACAGGATATGTCCCATCTCTGTACAGAATTTAGGATCCGCACACTGCAGTGTTTTCCATGTATTCCAATGGCCCTAGTTCACACAAGTGCAGTCCAGTTCCAGTCCATTTCCGGTGCAGAAAGAAAAGTAGATTATTCATAGAACCATACTGGAACATAGCAAACTGCACTGGAACTGCATGTGGTATAAACTGTAAGCAAAAACGTATCCAGAGTGTTTGTTTTTTTTTTTTTTTTTTTTGGTGTCAATTTATAAACACTTGCACTCCAGAGGATTTACACACCCCCCCCCCCCTTTCCCTTCCTGACTAGGCCATTTTGTGCGATATGGAACTGCGTTACTTTAGCTGACAATTGCGTGGTCATGCAGCGCTGTACATAAATGAAATTTGTCAATTTTTTTCAGTACTGATATTCAAATGCATTTCCACTGCTAACCAATCAGTAATACAGTTTGAGAAACATTTAAAAATAAACAGCCTTTTTTTTTTTTTTTTTTTTTTTTTTTTTTTACGATGTCTGGTGTTCCCTGTGTAAAGCTATGAAAAGCTTTTGTGTGCCCATTTCTGAACCTTGCTTTACTTTTTAGCTAAGGGCTTTTGTTTCCCCAACCTAAAGGGGAGGCAATACCACACCCCAAAGCCCCCACCCTCTGCCAAAAGCATGTTGGTTTTGCAAGCATCTTATTTTTGGAATAAACTTGTGCTTTTGTGGCGCTTCAGTTCCTAATTACTCTTCATTACCACAACCCAAGGCAATCATGGACACCCTACAGTTTATAGAAGCTGCCAGCCCAATATTCAGTCTTTTATACCTACACATTTACTTCAATATTTCATAACAATAATAAGAGTGCAAAGCAATCCTACAAAGAATTATCAGGGTTCCAGTGCCTCCTATCCACTTTTCTAAGCACTTCCACTTTTAGAAGCATTAATACTTTCTAAGGTCTCTTTCACACTGGAAGCCATCTGGTGGGAGAAGCAGGTGGGTAAGCCATGTTTTTACTGCTCAACAACAAGTGGACATGACAGCCAAAGGGGTCTATGCACATGTTGTGGTCTTTAGAAATGTAACTCCATTTTCTGAGTTTGACTTGCAGCACTGCAAGGTCAATGGGACAACGCCAAAACGGTATGGTATTTCAATACAGTATTCTACTTAGGTAACAAAAATGTTGAGGAGGCAGCAGAATTGCCTCCTGAATAACTGGAAACTGCCGCTGTACCTGCTTCTGAAAATCCACCACAAATCGCATTTCAGAGTGCGGTATCGCCTGCCATCTGAGTGAAAGGGCCTCAAGTTATTGATCCAGAGCATGAATGTAAATCTGATGTTCTGACCTCACTCTGATTGTGGTCACTAGCCTATAGTTTAAAAAAAAACATTAGAGGGTCAACATGACTGCCAGGCAAAAAAGTGATGAGCAATGGTTTGGCTCTGTGTTGCTCCTGATACAGGTTGTTTTCAATGGCAGACTTAAAGCTGAAATCTGGGCAGATACTAAAGATGCGTAATAATGCAGACTGTAATATTAATACATCATAAAATGTATTTTTAAATGTAGGCCATGTCTGAATTTGACCTGGTATCCTAAACTGTTCCTGTAAAGCAACTCCTGGAGTTTTGCTTTTAAAATTAAACCTATGGATAATAGACATTAAATATTTATATTTGCTTTATAGGCAAGCCCTCATTGGCTTCTGTAGCTGCAGATTCTCTAGAACAGTTTGTCCTTTGAGTGAGATAAGCTGCTGGGAAACAGACTAGAACTTTTGTTTTAAAATGTGAGGATGAATTGCTGCACAGTTCCTGCAGCTACATATGTTAGTGAGGGTTTATTTTAAAGCTTCTGTACTGCCTGTTAGTATATGAAAGCTTGATTCTTAATTGGCAGGCCACAAGTTCACTTTAAACTAAGATCAAAGGTTGCAAAGGAACAGCTTTTCAGGGTGCGTGGTTTCTGCTGCTCATCAGATGTGGTGAGCACTGTGTGGTTCCTGTTGCTAGACTGATCCTTTTTTGAATTAAAAAAAAAAATTAAACTCGCTGACCGGTTCACTTTTTAGTTTCCTGTATTACTCCAGTAGACTAGAATTACATTGGGTATGGTTTAATTTTTCTTTTGAATAACAAACATTTTTTTTTGTGTTGAGGGTTAAAAGGAATGATTTCATAATCAATAGACACCACTGTTCTTAATTCAATGTTGCTCAGTACCTGACTTTTGCAATATTGATTTAAGGGAAAGCTTTTTCAAATGTGCCATTTACAGCACTAATCCAGTAAAAATGGGTGGAGAAGATAGCTTTTTTCTCTGTTCATACAGTACATGGCAAAATGCAAGCTAATCCTGTTTCTTTCCAGTTCTGCACAATCACATGTAAGTTGGAGGAAGCAGAGTTGGCAAACCCTTTGACGGATAGCATAGCTGAAACATGGGGGCAGAGGTGCACATCTGATTTTTTTTTTTTTGAGCCCCCATAGTGACATATTTGCAGGAATTTCTATAGTTTCATACAGGACAGATAATATCATTGGTATTGGGTATATTTGTCCTTTATCTTGTATTGTACATGACAGGCTAAAATATGCTAGCTCAGCAAAAATGTATCTTATTTACTACTATGTAGATAAAAGTGCAGTGCGATGGAACACTCTTCCCCAAAAACAACTTATTCATCTTTGCTAAAAAATACATGCAAAGATACAAGCAAATCAATTGAAATCTATGATTTCAAGAATAGCCCCCAACTTCACCAAAAACAACCTCTGGTACAGTTATAATTAGGGTAACTGCAAAGGCTGCCGATCTAAATATAGAAGTGTTGTGTATCTACATTCACAGGCCACTTTATTAGCTACACCTGTTCAATTGCTTAGTAACACAAATTGCTAATCAGCCAATCACATGGCAGCAACTCAGTGCATTTAGACAAATAGACGTGGTGAAGACGACTTGCTGAAGTTCAAACCGAGTATCAGAATGGGGAAGAAAGGGGATTTAAGTGACTTTGAATGTGGCATGGTTGTTGGTGCCAGATGGCTGGTCTGAGTATTGTAAAAACTGCTGATCTACTGTGATTTTCATGCACAACCATTTCCAGGGTTTACAGAGAATGGTCCGAAAAAGAAAATTATCCAGTGAGCTGCAGTTGTGTGAACGAAAATGCCTTGTTGATGTTGGAGGTCAGAAGAGAATGGGCAGACTGGTTGCTGCGTCATTCAGATGGTAGGGTCAGAATTTGGTATAAACATGAAAGCATGGCTCCATCCTTGTATCAGCGGTTCAAGCTGGTGGTGGTGTATTTGGTGTGTGGAATATTTTTTCTCGGAACTAGCAAAGTGTACCTAATAAAGTGGCCAGTGAGTGTATATACCAAGCTAGTCTACTCTATCTTGTGGTTCAGTTACCTGATTGGAAGCTTTTACTTTAAAAACCAGCATGTTGGGGATCTTGCATGGTGACCCTGGCCTGCATGCTTGGAGTGCTGATCTATAGAGGTGTCCTTTATTTTGATTTATTATTATTATACAGGATTTATATAGCGCCAACAGTTTGCTCAGTGCTTTACAATATAAATGGAGACAATACAGCAACAATACAGTTCAATGCAAGAGGGATAGGAGGGTCCTGCTCCTTGGCTTATTGAAATCTCCTAGATTGTAAGCTCCATGTCCGAAAGGAAGACATCCAACAATATTAAAGGTTCAGTCAACCCAAAATTACTATATAGGGGAACGTTGGTATGTTCCCTTGGTGTATACAGTATATATTCCAGCAACGAGACCTCCATGTCCTAATTCCTGATTCTGTTCTTGCCCTTGGTTTTGGCATTCCTGCTTACCTTTTGCATGTTCCAACTCCTCTGGTTGCATTATCTCTACATTAAAGTTTATGAGAAAAAAACCTTGCTAAAGATTCAGGACAAAGGTATATTCAGACCCAGGAACTCAAATGCAGAAACTCACTGATATAATCCTAAAAAGCAATCAGGTTGTCCAGCATGTACGAAAACCTGAAGTATCCATTTTGAGAAGAAACTTTACACACTTGTGAAGAGATATTTGAAACCGCTCATTTGATTTGACAATTTACCATAATTCTGGTTCTTTTCCATAATTCTACAGTGGTGATCTCTATTAAATTTTACATTCACTTGTTATAAATTTAGAAAAGGTTTTCTTTGAATTTGATAATGTGTGGAGGATATTAAAGCTTTGTTGGCCTGAACAACCTCTCAATTTCAGTTGTTTACTGTAGGTTTTTAAATCCTTTTTATATAATTATTCTTTTTTTGTTTAATATGCCTATCAGTATGTTCTGACCATTTAATACCAGCAATGTGTATAGTTGACACTTTCATCTAAAATCTTTGCTCTTTACCCATCTAGTAAACATCATCTTACTGTGGGAGTGTCAGTCTTGCCAAATTATAGATGGTCTTTTGTTCCTTTTTAACAATAATCTCGTTTCTGTTACAGAGCCAGTGGGATGAAAACCATCATATAAACACTTCTGCAAATATACTGGTTGCGCATAATATTTCAACAATTGATTTGTACTTTCCTCGCTATTTCATAGGCATTTACTAAAGAAATTATAGATGATATGATAGATATATTTTTGCTACTGGCCGTGCTGAGAAATGGTTCATTTTTTCTATTTCAGCCTGTTGTTGGAATGCAGCAGTCAGTGTTAGAATGTCTCTCTATTGCTTATTCTGTAGGAGAGGAGCCCTTGTATACCTCGTGTATGAGGTAAGTATAGTTATTTACAGTGCATGGCATGCTTCACTGCTCTTTACATGTATTCAATATTTTTTGTACCTGTGCTTGCAGATTGCAGTTTTTCTGCTATAATAATTTCACTTGGACTTGTTGGGAATAAATGGAGAGTGGGAACATTTAAATGTTTAAGAATTTATTTGAAAATGTCTAAATACAATGCCTTTTTGTATTATCTGTGACTATTCACACCAGGGTGGTGCATCTAATGCATGTCTGTTGTCGTATATTGCAATAAGGCAGCATATTCATTTTAATGGGCTGCCTAACACAAAAGAATGGACAAAGTTGTTTTTGCATTTACAAATCACAGTAGTACTGCATTGGCTTGCCTTTTGTACTGAATAGCTCCCAGCGCATCAATGTATGTAACATACTTTACTGCAGGCAGTAGTGTAAACTCTTTGTTTTCGTTAATGTATTTCTTTGCCAAACCTTTTTTTAGTTTTGAATACAGTTGGGAAGGTTAGACCACTTGGCAGGTTTTTGGCTAGATCCCCATTGAGGAGATTTTCCCTGGTTTTTTTTTTTTGTACTGTTACCAATATCACCGAAAGTAAGGGGAAATTCAACACTTTAGAGTTGACCCCAAAACCAAGAAGTTTGGTGAAATCTTCCAAGATGGACACCTGTTTTGGGAACAATTCACCCAGAGGAAATTCTGTTCACTGTTGGGAGATTTCCTCTAATTTTTCTTTTGCATCTCTGAGACAGAATATTTCCCCAATGTTGCACAGACAGCAAAAAAATATACTGTTTGGTTTTAACCCTTCCCTACTTTTAACCAAAACTAAAAAAAAAATAGGCAGAGCTGACCTTGTATCTTTTATTGCATGGTAGTGTGTGTTTGTTTTCCTGGCCGGAATGCAGATGGAGTATGTTGAGAGTCTTGACACCCTGGTATGTTATGTTGGAAATCCTACCTGAATTTTACGCTAAAAACACATTTATAAAATGTACTTACTTGAAAGTTCATTCCCCCCCCCACCTTCTTGCATTTAATGTCCTTTTAGATGGATGGAGAAGTATTTTGTGAAATGTTGGTCTGAAAGAAGTTTTGCCAGTTTGCCTGTGGATCTGCAGAATAGTTGCCTTTCTGCTTTGGTTCAGTCACTTGTAAGTACAAATGAGCTCACTGTAAATCTGTTTCATTGTATTTCTGCAAAGCGGGCATTTTTGCTTTGTTGCTGGTGGTTAAAGGGCTGTTAACATTTCTATTTTGTAGCATGTTTCACTCATTCACTAAAGCTTTTGACCACCCCATAAGATGAGGGTTTATAACATTAAACTGGACACAGGCAGCCATGCGTGTAAATATTGAAGCTTATCAGGATTTCCCCTGCTTTGATATGCCCTGCGAACCATTTACATGTGGCTGTTATGTGGAATAATAGAAACCTCAGGTAATGCCATATGTTTAAAATAACTTATAATTGTGCATGCAAGATTGGTTATTGGAAGTAGTTTCTTACACAGCTTGTTTGATTAACCACATTTTACAACCTGTTTATTTGAACCAAATGTAAAATGAACTGCTAACTCAGTGATTCAGATTATGTAGGTCAGTGCCTCTAGGATCAAAATTAATTCCCTTTACACCAGTTGTTTAAGCCCAGTGTCAACTGATGACTGACATGTTTTTAAAATGTGCTGTAACAACACTGTCGGCTTGCTTTTATTCTGAATAAATGTGCCAGTGGGACATCTCTGGGTAAATCTATTTCTTTCACTATAGTACTGAGTCTATGAATTGCACTTGTTAATAGTTGCACAGTATAAGTTTCATGTGTACATAAGAAAAAACTGCAAATGTTTGCAAGTTTCTGAATTGCTGTTATGAAAATTGTTGCATTTCCAGTTTGCATTCAGTTAGATTCTTGCTGCTGTTCTAGAAAAGGTATACCTAAAGCAAACATCTGAGCTCTCATGCACACAGGTGGTTTGGCCCGCATGCATCGAAGCATTTTTACCATGCAGCATCCAGACTCACTGCCAACAGCCCGTCAGTCTTTGAGAGGTTGAAAAATGGAGCGGCTGGATGCTGTACCAATTACTCTCATTTAGGGCCATATGCATTCAGAGATTTACACCCGGAATGCCTTCATCCCTCAATACATACGGCCTTAAATGCAAGTACCGCTCCCTACAGCATCCAGCTGCCATGTATTTCAGCCTGTACTAGATTTTGAGGAGCTGCTGGCTAGAACAGCACCTGTGCTTAAAAACATTGGCCTGGGCCAGGGCCAGGGCCAAACCACCCAAGTGCATGTAGCCTGACTGGGAAATAACATTTTTGTTTTTACAGGTTTATTTAATTTTTTTCTGGTACTTGTGTAGCGCCAGCAATTTGCGCAGCGCTTTACATATATTGTACATGCACATCAGTCCCTAACTCATGAGGAGCGTACAATCTAAAGTCCCTAACTCACATTCATACATACACATACTAGGGCCAATTTAGACAGGATCCAATTAACCTACCAGCATGTCTTTGGAGTGTGAGAGGAAAGCGGAGTACCCAAAGGAAACCCACACAGACGCAGGTTTATACATTTGTATCAACTCTTGACTGTGTGTTTCCTTTTGTCTGCAAATGCACATTCATAGACTCTTGGAGCTTTCTGTTTTTTAACTGACTTTATTTAAAAAAAAAAAAAAAAAAAAAAAAGGTGTTTTCATGGTATTTCTTCCATACACAAAGTGTTTACTTCTCTTCCACTTTTTGAACCTGATTTAATAATGGCATTCCTCCGATGGTACTGATAACTCCTTTACTTTCTGAGGCCCTGGATATTTATCTGCTGGTCTGTACACAGGGCAATGGTTGCACTTCTAAGATGAAAAGTTCATGCCCAGAGGGTAAAGATTTTAAGCATCTTTTCTTGTGTGGCATTCTAGAACTATATATCCCCACCCCAATCGCAGGTGCAAAGGGAGGGGCATGATGTTAAAGGATAAGTTCACCTTTGGAACATGTTACATGTTCCACCCACGCTCGCAGCCCACCCCCCCCCCCCCCCCCCCCCCCCGACAAATAATATGGGGAGAAGTCTTCCCGTACTGTCTGTCAGATTTGAAAACCGTGCGTCCGCGTGGGGCTCCTCCCACACAGCCGCATCACTCATTCACAGAGTTCTGTGAATGAGTGCCTACAAGTCCAGGCAGCCTTAGCGACTGTCAACTTGTAGTTTTCAATGAACTATGACGGCGCTGTTGAGCGCCATGGTAGTTCATTCAAGCTTCCTGCTTGGCTGTACATCCCGTACGGCAAGCAGATATTCTGACAGATCTGCAGGAGACCTGCATGGCATCAGCCATCATTGGTGTCAGTGGGGAGAATAGTGCCTCATCATTGGTATCAGTGGGAGGAATAGTGCCCCATCATTGGTGTCAGTGGGAGGAATAGTGCCCCATCATTGGTGTCAGTGGGAGGAATCGTGCCCCAGCATTGGTGTCAGTGGGAGGAATAGCACCCCATCATTGGAATACCATACTGAAATAGCATACCATATTGAAATCAAATCTGATGTTTTTTTCATTTTTATTTGGTGTGCGTTGGAAGAGGGGTAGTCTTATACGGCGAGTATAGCTCAAACCCTATATTTTAACAGGAAAAGTAGGGGGTCGTCTTATACGCCCAGTCATCTTATACGCCGGAAAAATACGGTAGATAGATAGATATTTTTTACACATTTTTTTTTCTTTATTTTCAATATTGTGTTCTGCACCCACATTCAAAGATAAAGAACATGGGTAATGTTGCACGTCAAAAACTCTTTGACTTTATATTCCTTCCCTGTCTCATTGGACCTGAAGCTGTTAATGTTTTTTTTCTATTATTCTTGGTGTGCCTACTGGAAAAACAATTGTGGCACCGTCTGAACCCATTGTCCCCAGTTAGAAAACTCTTTGAAGGGGGCTTTTTCTCAAGAATATAACCCTTTTTTACTAAAAGACCTTTCGAAGTGGGAGCTCTTTTGAATATAAATCTTGATTTTTCAATAGCGAATCCTTGCTCACTATTGGATAAATTTATCTTCCTAATCAATTTTTTCTCATTTTCATTATAGATGTGTATAAAGTAGAATTTCCTCATCTTTGGATCCACTCCCTTTACTCTCCAACAGAGTGTGTCTGTCACACTCGAGGGCTTCTTTAATGCTTTTCCTATTTGAATTATATCTTTTATTGAGAAATTGTTAAAGTCTGGGGAAAAACAGGCTTGTAAAATGGTTTCCTTCTTGGTACATTTCGGCCTATAACTCACCAAGAAGGAAAAGGGGGAAAAAAAACCCAGCAAGCAGCCCTTTTTATGTTTTATTTTAAATCATGTGCAGTATTTCATATTTATCAGGCTAAAATAGAGAACTTTTTTAACATATACATTTCCTGTAGACCTCATATGATGCCCAGCATCACTAGGGGAAGCACCTGAAAATATTTTAGGGTTACTTGGCTGTTAATAAGATTTGGTATAGATGAAACCAAAACATACATGAACATACGAATTTGTTAATACTTGGGTCATAGTAGAGTTGAAATTCAGGGAATACGTACTACAAAAGATTGCAGTCATTGTTCTTCCCAGGCAAAATGTCATTTCTTGAAGCGGACTACACATATTTACACAGTTGTGAACATGCTTCAAAGTATTTTTTCTTGTCATTGACAAACAATGCATTAACTTTCATATAACTTGAACTGTGTTTTAGCTGAATGTATTTCACAGAAAATAAACAAGGCTAACAGACTAATAGCTGTGCTATGTGTCAGGTGCATGATTTTGTGCTACTTGGCAAGCTTCCTTTTCAGTCTATCCTGTGACAGACACCCTGCAATTATCTATGTTGACACATTCTACTGTCAGAGCTGCTGTGCAGAGCTAGGCTGAGAAAACCTCCTGATGTATTCACAGACTGCTATATCAGGGTTTGTGCATGCCCTTTGGTAAAATGTAGATGGGTGGTTTCTTCTATAAAGCATACTGAATTCTTGCCCCTTTCTCTGTCACAATAAGCTTTGTTTTCTAGTCCTGCAGGAATGCCGCGTTTCTGTTGATGGAAAGTGACAGGCTGCTCAGCAGTCTTCCTGAGGTGAAGTGGGCAGAAAGAGTGAGGAAGTTAGCGTCTGATCTTCAGGATGAATGTGTGAGATTTATGGTGACAAACTTCTCCCAAACCATAAGAAGTGAAAGTTTTACACATTTGTTACAGGTATTTGTAATTTTGTTTTCTGGTTTTTGGCCCTGGTCATTGAAAATGTCCCTATTTTGTTTCTCCACAACACCTGGCTCTATTGTATTTGAACGAGAACCTGTTGGGTCCAGGGGATCAAGCCTTAGATGACAACACTTCTTGCACTGCTGACACCGCAGCGTTGCCTGGCGGAAGATCCAATGTACATGTTATAAACAAAGGGTCCACACAGCACATCTAGAAACCCAGAAGCTTCTGAGGAACATGAGCAAACATTAGCAGAGGTCATAGAATGCCTCGACCCATTTCACAGGCACATGATTAAGCAGGTGTGAAACACAACAAGGCCTTCTATAACTACTTCTAATGTTTGCTAATATTAGTTATAAACCTTCTGGTTTCCTATTTGAGTGGAATGAAACAGGGCAGAAGCAGTGTGAACACCTAAGGCCCATGTCACACTAGTGAAGCATTCTTAGGGTTACTTGCCAGCTACAGTTTTGCTAGGAAAGGAAAGTCTCCACTCATGCTCCACTAATGCCAATCATGTTCTCACAACATGGCTTTCTCGCTGACTGGACTAATACAATGCTTTAGAAGCAGATTAGCATATTATTTAGCGATCCTGCTGCTGACAAATTATCACCAGCAACAGGCTCACTAGTCTAATATGGACCTTTGAAAAATGGTTGACTGAAGAACTTCTCTCCCCTGTTCTTTTAGCTAACTTTTCCCTCTTGCCCTTAGTATCTTGTGTGAGGATAGAAAGATGGAAGATGCCATAGCTGGCTTGTTTATGAAGGTTGTGCGTTTTAGGGCTCTCATGCTAATCTTGGTCTCACTATC